AACACAAATTTGTTACTGTTCAGCCCTGGAGGTCTGAAGTCTCCCATGGGTTTGCAAGCCTGTTTCCTTCAGCAAGCTCTAGGAAAGAATTCGTTTTTTTGTCCTTTTTTTTTTTTTTTTTTTTTTTTTTTTTTTTTTTTTTTTTTTTTTTTTTTTTTTTTTTTTTTTCAGTCTGCGGATCAAACCCAGAGCCTCAAACATGCCAGGCTGGTGTTTTACCAGCTATCTGCTGTGTCCTTTATTTCTTTTTATATCATGCAAAATACCTCTCTCTACAAATTGTGGTCCTCCATCTTATAGGGGCTGTGTGATCAGGCTGAAGCTACACAGAAATACAGGATGATTTCTTACTTTCAACACATCAGCAGGCTCCATTTGGTCATATAAAGTGGTATATCCGCAGATTCCAGGGACTCACCCTGAGTGTCCTTGACCTCCCACACATACCTCCCAAACCTCAAATTACAGACTTCCACAGCAAAGAAACAATAATGCTACTAGCTAACTTGTTGAATAGTTAGCATATGTTATGTAAGGGCCTATGCAACTTGCTTTGGGTGAATCATCTAACTGGAGACATTATTTTTAATTGCCTTATAAAACAACTGTTTGTCCAGGGTTACAGAACTGGCTGGGGGTAAGACTTAAGTATACTCAGGTAAGCTTGGGTCTAGATACTTTGCCTTTGGCCAAAAGGGGGTCTGAACCTATCCTTTAAGCCATGCTACCTGGTAGGAGAAGACACTAAGACTTCAAGACAAGAGGTGCTCATGTTCCCTGGCTAAAGAAAGGGTCCTGCAAGAGTCCTTGGTAAAAGGAACACACAGATGACAGTTCACTCAGAACATGCCCTTGTATGCAAATGAGAAACTTTGGGGTTGCCAACAGGCCAAGAAGAAGCCACCTAGGCCTGAGGTTTCATGGGAGTAAGGAGATATAAGAAGGCCGCTCCTGTCTCGAGCTAGAACAACCCTGACCTTAAAGAAAGAATTTGTATGAATTCCTGGAGAGACTTCCTACTGCATCAGGTGGATCCAGACCCTATGAAACAGGCTGCAAGCCTGGGAACCCTGGTGGTCCAGCAAAATAGTCCTGTCACTGAGCCTGCTTTACACTAGGGCCTAGCCATTCCCTCCACCGCATCGGGGATACAAGCCCCCGTGTGCCACAGGTGTCAACACAGTCCAGCTTTATCTCTACTGTCCCTAAATATCCCAAAATGACCTCTTTTCCTTCCAGTTCTCATACAGCCAATAGCTAAAATCCAAGTACACTGGCAGAGGGCAAGCAACACAATTGCCCTGCATGCCTGGTGAGCTGGCTTGAGTAGTAAAGGCTTTCAAACCTCAACCACTAACAGTTTAGCCCTAGACCCTTTCCAATGAGCGGAATTAAAGCTATTAAGTTTCACCCAGTCACTTGAATGGATCACGAGCTCTAAATCAGATGCAGGATGGCACAGTGGTCAAGAGGATGGAGTCTAGAGCTGGTCTGCTTTGATTAGTCTCACCTGTGACTTAGTGAGCATTAATCTTCCACTACCTCTGTTTTCCCATCTTCAGAACGGACTTAACAACAGAAGTATACCCTCAGCAGAAACTGAGAAACCATTCAGGATACATAGAAGTCATTTTGATTGTGCCCACATAAAAGATACATATGCCCAATATTACATAATACCTCTGTCTATCATGTTAGTACTCAGGTATCTGTTCTGGCCTGTCCTTGGGGGTTCTGACAGGGTATGCCCTCAGCTGCAGCCACTAAGAACACCACCTGTGCACATTGCCTACGTTCCCCCCCCCTTTTTTTTCTGATTTTTCCAGACAGGGTTTCTCTATGTAGCTTTGGAGCCTATCCTGGCACTCACTCTGGAGACCAGACTGGCCTCAAACTCACAGAGATCTCCCTGCCTCTGCCTCCCGAGTGCTGGGATTAAAGGCGTGTGCCACCAACACCCGGCACCTATGTTCCCTTTTTAAAGGTCTCTCTCTCTCTCTCTCTCTCTCTCTCTCTCTCTTTCTCTCTCCTGCTGCTCCTGTCCCTGGAGGCTGGTCTCCCCCTCCCCTTTCCCCTTTTTATGATCCTTCCTCCCCCCAAAAAAAACCTCTGCTTGAACCCTGCCCCATGTCATCTTTCTGTCATGCACAGCTTTTCTTAACTTACAACAATTATTTCTGAAGTAAAGATAGATGAACAGTTGTTACCAGCTAAGAAAAGAAGGGACTCTCGAAAAGTCACATCAAGCTGGACCAAGTTTTGTTGCCAAACCTATAAGTCCACAGATGACTACAGGTAAGGGTTCAGCTCTCTAGCACTTCTGCCCAGTGCTGTAAAAGAGGGTGGGGTGGGGGAATCTAAACAGGAAACTTGAAAGATTTCATTTGCAAACCAGTTCCCTTGGGAGATTAACTCTGTGGAAACAATTCTCTAGGGCAGGACTTTCTGAGATAATGCCAACGTCCTGTATTTACACCCTGTGCATACAGACACACATAGCATCCAAACATTTAGATGTGGTTAATTTCATTTATTTTAACTCATTTAAACTTAATCATATGTGGCTAGTAGCTACCATATTGACAATACATCCACAGAGAGCTATATTCCCATTCTGGCCCATGAAAACCTACTTAAGCCATAACTCAACTGAATTAACATTGAATTAACAAGCCTGAAATCTGCATCCAGGAAGCAAAGGGGATGAGGGAGTACCTTAACTTCCTTGCCAGGCCTCACAGATGGCACCCTTTGATATATCCTTCCTCTTTTTTCCATTCCCCATCCCATCAATCCACAACTTTTGTCTTCCCCACCCAAGGTTCACAAGGTTACATGCTTTTCTAAGTCCCATCCATACCGTTCCATCACTTGGCAAATAGCTGCTAAGGAGAAGTGCAGGAGCCAGGACTGAAGCAGTTGTCCTGTAGAGGCTGCTTGAGGGAGGCAGGGACTGCCAAACACACACATACCTCCAGGGCAGCCATGCTCTATGAAAATGCCCTCTCTATTTACAAAACTCCTCACCTTTTCAATTTTCCTTTATTCTTCTAGAAATTTGTAGCAAACTACACACGTCAAACAAATGCCATCAAGTAGAAGACGAAAGGCCAAAGAAACATGTGGCCGAGAACTATTGTGAATAGAAAAAGAAAACCAACAACCTTCACTGGACTCTCTCGCTTCACCCCATCCACTAAGTATGAAGTTTTCATGACAAAGGTCAAAGCTGGAATGCATCAGGAGCTTTCTTACCAGAAGGACTGGAGAAGAATGCCCCTCCCACTTCATCTCACCTCTTACCTGGTCTGGAGCCAAAGATGACCAGGAGGCGCTCCTGAGCACAAAGCAAACTGCCCCTGGGGGGCTGTTAGTGATGGATAGCTGAGAGAGAGTAAATGCTTCTCTCAGTCCTAACTCTGTAGGGGAAGCTGTAGCCACGCCTTCTTAGGGGCTGGCTACAGGTGTGCCTGACCACCTAAGAAGGCGTGGCTACAGCTTCCCCTACATAACTCCTCTGAAATAGAGCTTTACTTTGTACAAACCAAGGTCTTAACATTTAATGCCTGTCCAAAATTATTTCTGGAGAGACTTCCAGGTGTAAGTGTCAGACTAAGAAAGTCACAGCAGATACCTTAGGTGGGGGGTAAAAAAAAAAGAGAGACATCTACATAAATCTCACAGATCCATCGAGGTAAGAGGTTACTGGAATTAAAGAAGACGCTGGCTGTTTCAGGTTGGGGCAACAAACTTGAGAGGGAGGCTGTTTAGTATTTGGGACGGCCACTGGGGAGACCGGGGGAAGTCAGTGAGGAAGAAGAACCGGTATTCTAGGTCGGTGCTTCTCAACCTTCCCAACGCTGCGACCCTTTAATACAATTCCTCATGTTGTGCTGACCCCCAACCACAAAATTACTTTTGTTGCTACTTCATAACTATAATTTTGCTACCGTTATGAATCATAATGCAAATATCTGTGTTTTCCGATGGTCTTAGGTAAGCTTTGTGAAAGGGTCGGTCAGCCCCAAAGGGGTTGCGACCCAAAGGTTGGGAACCGCCGCTCTTCTAGAGTATACTGTCAGGGATCTGTCAGAAAAGCCACGGTTGTTTGTATATAGTAACTGAGGGATAGTTTGCTCTTCCTGCACTGACAGCTAGGAACCCGTGCTGGTATCTATGGAACCTCCTGGGACCACTCCCCAGAATGATGTCTAGCTATTCCTCTGGGATTCCAATGGTCCTGGTTTTAGCTGTGCCTATTCTGTGACCTTGACTTCACCCTGCCCCTTCAGGGGGTTTCTACAAGAAAGTCAAGAAAATCCACTAATGCTGATGGAATTGTAACTATGTACAAAAAGGGGGGGTAGCAAAGTCAACTTTAGTTATAATCAGAGAGCTTATTTTTTTAAATAACACTGAAATCATTTAATGATGAACATTTCTTAAACTAATTGATTCGGTCAATTGAACCAAGTGTGCCTTGGCTTAAATGTAAACGGGGAGCGTATTTACACTATCCACTTAACACGAGCCATCGCCAAAGAACTGTGTGTATCTGGGTTATTTAGAAGGTCTTTAAAGAAAAGGCATAGATAGCCATTCTCGAAGTCACCAGTTAGGAGTGAGACAGGGTGCTGTACTGTATTTCCTGGGACTCTGCAGATAAATCTCTCCTGAAACAATGTCTGAGAACTTTCCTTGAAATAACGTTGCTGAGTCCCGCCACGAAAAGAACTCCTACTTTTCTTTGTGCTGGCCACTTCCACACTATACACACAGCATGAAATAGTGAGCCGAGGCAGGGGTCACCCGGTGACCTCTAGCCTCGCATTCCCTGAGGGATGGCTGCCTGGGCTGTCCCCTGGGAGGCGGGGAGCCGCTGGGCCACCAGGTACAAGAAGTCCAGGCTACTGCTGGGCGCGACTCCATCCAGGAGGGCACCCAGGCCAGCTCTCAGGTCCGCGGTCCTGGGGGACCCAGCGGCAGAGCCGCAGGCTCACCTTAGATCTCCAGCCAGTCGTGCGGCGGGCCCCAAGTGCCGTGTCCCTCAGGGACCTGGTCCGCGCGCGCGTCGCAAGAGGCGTGGGGAGTCCTGGCTTCGGAGTGTCAGCCGCACAGCCGATGCCCAGGAGCGCTCAGGAACCGGGCAAGTGTCCGGGAGCCCAGCGGGGCGCGCCGCCGCTGGTCACAGCTCGAGCCCGCTGGCCCCGCCGCCCGCCCACCCGCCCGCACTCGGGCGCAGCCCGCGCGTCCCTCGCCCCAGCAGTGCGCGCTGCCCAGAGCCGAGCAGAGCGGGGCGGCGCGGGCCCCCGCCCTGGGCCGGGCTTTCCCAGAACTCGCCCGCGGGGTGAGAGGCCGCGAGCGCCGCCGTGGGCCGCCCGGCGACCAGGGGAGCGGCTAGTGCCTGGCCCGCCCCCGACTCGGCCGGACTGGACCCGCCCCCACCACCCTGCCATCCCGCCCTGGCAGTCCCAGCGACCCTCGTCTCGCCCCCCGGCCAAGGCGCCCAGGAGTCACTGTCTGGCTCAGGCACAAGAGGGAGGCGGCTACAGCTCTGCCGGGTCAACCTGCTCCCCGGAGAGAGGGAACTCTGCACACCTTAGGGGCAGATGTCCTCTTGCACTGTCTCCCCTCCTGCAGACCACCTCTGGGTGACAGACTGAGGCCCCGGGTCACTAAGTGACTTGACTAAAGTTCCTCTAGGAGGTGTCAGCAGCGAGACTGATAGCATTGCCATTCATCCATTCATTTCACGAGTACTTTGTAGAACACCATCATTGTGTTCAGGACAGCCCCTCTTGCTGTGTGTGACCAACCATTCCCGTGACCTCTTAAAAAAAAAAAAAAAACCACTCGTATCTGTTTGGTTTTTCGAAGCAAATCTGGAGATTTTTCACAGCTGCCAGACACTGCCGGCTCTGCATAGCGCATCCTCCGCTACTGGCAAAAGTTTTATGCCGTCTGCAGTTGGGAGCCAGAGACCTGGAGAAAACCAAAACTCTTCCTGTTTGCCTAAACCTGTGCCTTCTGCTTTGTTACCCATTTTGCAGAGACCCTAAGCCCGATACCCCCTCACACATTCAATCAGAACTGATCCTTTTGGCGCAAATCTCACATCTGACTTTCCCTTGGACCAAATCAACTCTGCACACCACAGCCATAGTCTTTCTCCTCCACAACTTTAATTAATGCAGAAACCATCAATATCTCTATCTCCTACTCCATACCAACTCCGCATCATGGGAGGAGGCCAACATGCCCTAGCCACTGTGAACCACACAACAGGATCTGTCCAGCTCCCAAACTCCCCCAACTCTACCTGTAACTTTGCTGACCTATGTATCTGGATCATGGCTGCCTCCCACAGGCTCTGCTCTTGCTCAGCTTAGGCCCCTCTTTAAAAAGATCTCCCCTCCTTGGAGCCTCTAGAGCACAGGAGAGGCTGGAACAAGAATGCACGAGACAGCCAAAGAATTCTGCCCAGAAGAAAAAATCTGCCAGCCCTATCCTTACACTGTTTTGCTGTTTTCTTCCCACTAGGATTTTAATGAAGACTAATGTTACTGCTTCCCACTAGACCAGGTTCGGAAAGCCTTAGCAGAAGGCTTTGGGGGAGGGGATTCTTTGTTCATTAAGCACTTAGGATTTTAGTTTAGACCACTGAGAAATAAATGGTCATTTACCCCAACCCCAGACTTGGACAGGTAAGTAGAGGAGGGTAGCAAGAAATATCTTCACTAATAAGATAAGCAGACATATAGCATCACACTGTGATTTTTATTATTCATTTTATAACTCTAGTAATCCAGATATCATCATTACCTGGTCCCCTGAGACTTCCGGTTGGTTGTTCTTTCTTTTAAATGTCCTGTGGGAATTAGATTGCTGCAAGGTGGTGGTATGGAGGCAGACAGCATCAAGTCCTCCAACTGAGTCATTGTACTATTGAGAACCAAGACAAATGCTGGTCCCATAAACAGCAAGCTGGTCACCCAAGGGTGCTGATCCACAGGCCCCACCCCTAGAAGGGATGCCTTTCCCAAATCTTTGCAAAGAGAGTATCCAGATCAATGTTCCCCCTCACCCCCTCTGTAAATGGAGGGAGCCTAGTCCCTGAGGCTGCCTCACCGCATTGGAATGTCTGAGCTAACAGGACTTCCAGAGGGTTCATTGCTCCCTCTGAACAGTGCTGCCCAGACTTTCTGGAGATGTTAATTCACTCCGCAACCTTGCCAACAGTTGCATACAAGGTGCCTTTTTTACACCCCGCTCTCTGTTCAGTCAAACATGCAGACCATCTCAGGGGTACAATGGCTCCATTCAAGACTTTTTCAAAAATACAGCATATAACCTCTGCTCTGTGGGTTGCTGCCAGCCATTATCTGCAGGAAGAAAGACTGTCAGATAAAGCGCCTGAGAATCGGAGAAGCGCTGGACAATTTCCATGGAAAATTCAGTTCAGAGAAGCAAGTCGGCATCTCAGTACAGAAGACCCTTCTGCACAGTAAACAGCAGCTTCCAGAGACACTACCGTGAAAACTATCTACGTGTCGTGCATCTACATTGGAAACTGTAGAAGAAAGGGCGCCATCTTTTCTGAAGTTGTTGCAGAATAGACCACACAGTGGGAATGAACGTAAGAGGCAATCCTTAACATTAGGAATTTAAGTCATAAAATCATTTACCAGCAGGAGGCCCTACACCCTCCGCTGCACACACTACAACAAAAAGACCAGCCCTTGGTTGCACTCAACAAGCCAGATATCAGCTAACCTGCTCTTAAACAAATCCTGTAGTTAAGGACTGTGTGATCAATACAGACCACTACAATGATTTATGCTAAGCTGCTGGGGGAATATGTTTACTGAGAATATGTTTACCTGAGACCCTGGGAGGCTGAGGAAGGACTGCAGGTACCACCTTGCTTTATGAGGTATTGTTTCCTCCCTGAAGACACTGACTGCGTAGACAGTGCAGACCTTCCTAGCTGGCAAACAGGCTACACAGTTCAGACATTCAGAGCCTGAACCTGGCTTCCTAGCGTGGCCTCATCTGCGAACTTGATGTCGTCAAACAGTTCCGGTTTGTTCCCTGATGTTTCCAACTAAAACCTTAGAGCTGATTTATAACCAGTCCCACTCTTTGGTGGCTCTGCATTTGATACAAAAATGAGTCAAAAAACAATAGAGTTTCAGCCAACGCTAAAGAGGAACTAATACATGCCAAAGGGACACGAACTGGGCCTTTTCAAAAGATTAATGAACAAGAAATTCCTTCATGAATGCCTGCATGTCACTTCTGCTGCCATTCTTAAACTCGGTCATTAATAACTGCCACGTAAAGCACAGCCTACACTCAACCACTGCAGCCAGATAGTAAGAATGAGGCAATAGTGATCACCCGGTGACATTCTTCACTCCTGGAGGAATCATCAAACTTCATCCAGGCTTTGCTTGGCTGATGTCTACTTAAATAATGTGGTTTGCATGTATTGTTTCCTCTCTTGTGTGCTTGCTGTGGGTGCCAGAATGAGGGCAGTGAACAGAGCAGTCAGCAAAGTCCCCACCTTCCTGATACTGACTCGCTGGCAGGAATGGATCTAAGTAAGTCAAGCTTGCAGCATAGCAGAAGGTAACAAATGCTCTCCACTTCTTGTATACTATGTTCCTTTTCCTTGTTTGCAAACAAGAAAGTCTGTTTTGAGCAGTTTAGAAAAGAGGGAGCAACTCATCTCTCTTTCTCCTCCTCCTTTCTCTCTTTCTCCCTCCACACTTCCTATGAAAGATGGGGCAGGCGAGAGATTGCTCAGCAGTTCAGAGTACCTACTGCTCTTGCAGAGACCCACGTTCAGTCAGGCGGCTCACGACCACTTGTAACTCCAGTTCCAAAGGATCTGGCATTCTTTTCTGGACTCCTCAGGCACAAATGCACATGTGACATGCATTCACTCACACACACACACACACACACACACACACACACACACACAGAGTCAGGCGTATGCACACAAACAATAAAAAGAAAACAATCTTTAAAAAGAGAGAGAAGATAATTCATTTTCTAAAAAAGGAACAAAACTCCTTACTAATTTATAGGTTAAAGAAAAATTATATTAGAAACTGAAATAGTAGAACTGAAAGACAATAAAATAGCAACAAGCTACACACAGACACACAGAATTGTTGGCTGTAGCTAAAGCAGAATTGGTAGTAAGTCATAACTTTTTTTTTGGTTTTTCGAGACAGGGTTTCTCTATGGCTTTGGAGCCTGTACTGGAAACTTGCTCCGTAGACCAGGCTGGCTTCGAACTCACAGAGATCCGCCTGCTTCTGCCTCCCAAGTGCTGGGATTAAAGGCGTGTGCCCCCAACGCCTGGCAGTCACAACTTTCTAATAGATACATTTATCAGGAAGGAAGAAAGGTCTATGATGAGTTATCTAAGCATTCAATAAGAGAATCTAATTATAGAGTAAGAAGAGAAACAGACAAGACATGCAAAAAAATATTAATTAAAACTACAAAAACTAAAAAGGCAAAACCTAGAATTTTAAAAGCAAACTGTAAGTAAGTATAGCTGGAGTTTTTCTGTGTCCTAGCAGTTGCTCCCAAATAACCACACAGAGACTTAATATTAATTATAAATACTTGGTTGATAGCTTAAGCTTGTTTTTAGCTAGCTCTGAGAGCTTAAGTTAATCCATATCTATTCATCTCTGTCCTGCCCGGAGGCTCATATACCTCATGTGTGTACTTCCCATACTGCTCACACTGTGTTTATTGCATCTCCTCCTGTCTCCACCTTCTCCCCAGCATTCTCTCTGCTCCCCAAATCCTGCCCAGTCATTGGCCAATCAGCTTTTTATTAACAATGAGAGCAGCACATCTTCACAGTGTACAGAAGGATTATTTCACTAAGATTTTTTTTCACTAAGAATAAGATTTTTTTCAAATATGTAGAAATAAAATGAATATATGATCATACAACCTGCATTTGTTAGATGGTAACTTAATGCCAGATATAGTTCTGAGTACACAGCATGAATTCACCCATTTGAGTTCTACGACAAACCTATGAAATAAATACTATAGCAATTTCAATTTATGGGAGAGGAAACTGTAGACTCATCTGAATCCATTTGTATCTGAAGATGAAAGAGTGTGGAAAACTTTTCAAAAGATGTACAAAAACAAAAAAACAACTATAG